ATTCTCTGTGCAGATTCTGTAATTTCTGTGTTAAGGATGGAGGAGACCAAAGCCAGCGACAGGAGAGGAGAAAAAGGCTCCAGATAAAGAGATGCTTGGGAGTTGTGAAAAAGGAATGATGACAAGCAGAAAACCCACCCGCAAGTTCCAAGCACTCTTCCCCACTGCCTCCCCGCTCTCCCCGCCCCCCCCTTGGGAAAGATTAAATCCACCAAGCCAGTCACAAAGGCGGAGGGAAATGAACAGCTGGGAATCATCCTGTTGAAATCAGTCAATGAGAAATGGAGCTTATTGTTCATGTCATTTTTACGCTAATGGGTGATTAAATTGGTTTGTACATGCCCAAGAACTGCTCTGACCTTTCCCGGAACAACCTGGATAACTCCCTGCACAAGGCAGTGCTGGAGTATGACAGAGCAGGCATGGGGAACTAGCTCTGTAGTGAACCACAACTGGCCAGACTGTTTCTCTGAAGTGTCTGTCGAGTCCAATGGCATCGTGAGCATCTCCCTGTTTTTATAAGGCTCTAGCCCACATGGTTACGGAAACTGTTTTGAAAACACAGCACAGCTAAAATCCAATTGACCTCATAGTTCTGTAATGCCAATTATACTGATGATCGTGCAAATAGATTTTGGGTTGGATCCAGATCAACAGTGCAAACTCTACTCCTAACTACGTCCGCATGGAATTCTATGGGAGTATAGAATTGCAGCAAAGGTAGGTGTGTCTAATGTTCCTTTGGAGGGATTTATTAACGGGATCTAAGCACAACGCATCTGGAACCCAATGACAGCTCTGCAGCACTCAGTGTGTTCCCAACAAGATTTTCCATGAGAAATACTCATCTCTTTTTTCAGTGGTTAAACAGCCTGGCTTTTGAGGCCTAGCCTTTCTTCTCAAGAGCTTCCAAGACATGTGAATGAAAAGAACGTTGGATGAATGAGGACACTGGGAAACGGAACACAGGAAGCTTCTGTGTCCGAGCTTCACCCATGTAACTGGGTCATGATTTGCATGAATCAGGCAAAACACTGGTTCGAAGAAAGAGTATTTTACTAGCCTTAACCACCCAACCCAATGAATTCAATGGGCTTATTCTTAGGTGTTGATGCGACTTTTCCTAACTTGATGACTTCCAGAAATGCTGGACTGCAATCTCCTGGCTGGGAATGATAGAAATTGCAGGTAAACACATTTGAAAGGCACCAGGTGTGGGAAGACTGATGGACAGGATTATGGGGAACATCTGGTTTTGAGAGACCAGATCACACAGCGAAGAATTAGTACATGGTTTGGGAAAGTTCCTGGCCTTGTTTACGTTGCCCAATTCATAAGTGCTTCAAAAGCCCAGGGTAAACGAAAGTCTAGAACTCGAAAATCATAGCACAGTAGAGTTGGAAGGGGCTAAGAAGGCCTTTGAGTCCAATCCCCTGCTCAGGGCTGCTGTTATTTTAACACATTCATAACAAGTCCATGTCTGTCTACTCACTCCTGAAAATGGTCAAATTAATCTCTGTATTTTATTTATTTAAACTCTTTTTTTAGACCTGCCTTTAAGGGATGTTGGAATGAATGCAAACTTCTTCATAAAAAGCATCAAACAAAATCAAGCATGAATAAGACTCCACCTCTGTGACAACCATTTTGTGGCGGTGCCCACGATGGTTTTCTAAATGGCCAATCATGACTGTGGCTTCCAAAAAAATTGCTTATGTCCTGCACCCCGAGAAAATATGGTGAGGGTTGGAAAATAAAGCAAACATCCAATAAATTGTGCGCCGTCCCAAGAGGTTATGCATAAGGGACAGCATATAAAAGCATTAAATAAATAAATAAATAAATATTGAAATACTTGCAGCGCAAACCATTTCCATTGTGCAACTGCTCTTGGGCCAGAAATTGGAGAGGTGGTGAGAGAATCTACAAGGGTTTCTATAAAGCTGATTACAGCTTTTCTCGAGGAGGTTATTTCTCTTACACCCGTTTGTTTTTCAAAGTCAGCAAGGCGCATGCCCATTCTTAAAAGCAGCATTTCTCTTTGAATGCAGAAAGGGGAAACCTCATCTCTGCATTCCCATTTGCAGTTCTCTGCATGCGATTTCAAGACTTTGCATACCGCTCGGTGCATTCGAAACATGCTGCACCACCGTCGAGGCCGACAGAGGGGGAGGGTTTGCTCGCTCGGCAGTAGCCTGATTTCTAGGGAACCCCGCAAGCTGTCCCCGTTCAACCAGCCTTTGCCAATGGCAGAGCTGCAGAGAGAAGACCCTCAAGATGACTCAGCTTCCCTCTGAGTTTATCACAGACACCTGGCGTGGACGTGTTGACTCAGGATATGCACGATACACCCACTCCACGTCAATTAACCAGCTTTAACTGTGAACAGGCTCCATCCTTAATTGGGTGGGGTTCAAAAACAGGCACCAAGGACAAGGGGGATGGATTCTGGGGTTGTAGACTGGAGACGGAGGAGGAAGTCACCTTAACTTTCCTAAAAAGATTGGAATGAGAAAACTTTGCCAATGCAGCAAAAGAAATCTGATTCATTGTGGCATAAACCAATTCAGCTTTAGACAACAAGTCCCATCATGCCAGTCCATGCTGGATGAGGATTACTGGAGTTGCAGTCCAACACCAGTTTGTAAAGATACCAGTTTGCACTCCTAAACTGTGAATGGAAAGGAACCTCATCCGTACTTCCAATCCTGAATTAACTTATCTGTTAACCAGCAGGGTCTTTGTCTCTTCTGAAAGATCACAGAAACATACAGGAGGTCTTTCTTGGTAACTGCCCACTAAAAGAAGCAAAACCAAATGTGGCCACATGCATACCCTAGACGATGATTTTTTATAAACTCAGAACAATGATAATAAGGTTCCATGGCAACTGAGTCGAAAGGGAAATGGGATCCAAGATTGGTAGGACATTTTAAAGGTGCAATTCCAACCAATTCCCGCAACAACAACAAGAACAACAACAATGAAGGGTAGACAATAACGAGAAATACTGTAGCTTCACAAAAAGCTTAGGGATTCCCTGGAAACTAAAAAAGGACACATACAGGAAGTCGAAGGAAGGCCAGGCTCCAAAGGAAGAACACAGGCGCCTGGCATGGAATTGCAGAAAGGTTAAAACTAAGAATGAGCCGAGGTTAGCAAGGGATGCTGAAAGCCTAGTAAAAGCCAGAAAGAAGTGGTGGTTCAGCTACTCAGAGAACGTAGAAAAGTGGTAACAGATGACATAGAAAAGGCAAAGATACTCAGTTCCTACTTTGGCTCAATCTTCTCTCAAAAGAGGGTCTATGAAGGGGAAGTATGAACTGAAGCAGGCAAGATGGCAAATGGTAAAGCAACACCTAATTACTTTGCACAAGTTCAGACCTCTAGAGGCTGATAAATTGCATCCTAGAGTAAGAAAGGAACTGGGGGAAGAACTCTCAGGCCCACATTCTATTATCTTGGAGGAATCATGGAGGGTGGGTGAGGTGCTGGACGACTGGATGTGGGCTAATGGTTCCCCTACCTTCAAAAATGGGAAAAGGAAAAACCTGGGAACGGCAGAGTATTCATTCTGACATCAATCCCTGGGAAGATTCTGGAGCAGATTATAAAGCAGTCCATCTGCAAACACCTTGAAAACAGTACAGTGATGACTAGAAGCCACCATGGATTTGTAAAGAACGAATCCTGTCAGACTAATCTGACCTCCTTTGTTGATCAGGTAACCTCCCTGTGGAGCGTAGGAATGCTGTGGAGGTATCAGCATCAGCACAGCTTTCACAACACGTCCCGTGATATCCTGATTGGCAGACTAGCTCAACGTGGGCTGGATAGAACAACGCTCAGGTGGATCCACAGCTGGCTGCAGAATCGGACACAACCAGTGCTTATCCATGGCACCTTCTCAGTCTGGGGAGAAGTGACCTGAAGCGTTGGGGGCACTGGGCTGAAAACAATAGGATGAAATTTAATACGGACAAGTGCCGAGTTCTGTCCCTGGAAAAGAGACAGCAATGGGGATGCAAGACGGGGGATACCTGGCTGAACAATTTTGCAAGCAAGAAGGATCTTTTGATTGTTGTAGGCTACAAACTGAATCTGAGTCAACAATATGATGTGGCTGCGAAAAGGGCAAATGCTATCTAGGGTTGCATTAATAGAAGGATCACTTCCAAAATCATGCGAAGGTCTAGTTCCCCTCTACTCAGCACTGGTTAGGCCTCACCTGGAGTGCTGTGTCCAGTTCTGGGCACCACACTTTAAGAAATGATGCAGACAAGTTGGAAATGTTGACAGGAAGGCAACAGAGAGCATCAGAGGACTGGAAACAAAGCCCCATGGGAAAAGACTGAATGAAATGGGCATATTTAGACTCGAGAAGGGAAGACTGAGGGGAGGTTATGACAGCATCCTTCAAGCACTTGAAAGATCACACAAAGGAGGGCCAGGTTCTCTTCTTGATCTTCCCTGAGCGCTGGACATGGAATGATGAGCTCAAGTTACAGGAAGCCAGATTCTAGGTGGACACCAGGAAAAACGTCCTGACTGTCTGAGCAATACAACAATGGAAAGTCATTGGTTCTCCTACACTGGAGACATTTAAGATGCAGCAGGAAACCATCTGGTAGGGACGGTTTGGAATTTCTGCACTGAGCAAGCGATGGCCCAGATGAGTTTATTGGCCCTTCCAATATATTGTTCTGTGATTCTAAAACTATGGAATTCCCTTCTGCAGGAGAACCATCAAAACTTCCGCCTGGAAATTAGGGGTGACAAGGATGCCTTGCATCCCCCCTTCATTTATCCAGCCCCCATACATATTTCTGATGTGGACTGATACAACAGAGCAACACGTCAGCACAATGGGATTGCACAGTTGACCACAACACACAGCTGACCCCGCAGCCATCAAGGGAAATCGTGTGTGCAAACCAGCTCGAGTTATCACATGACTAGAGGCATTCAGGACTGGATTCTTAATATAGCTATATATTTACCTACGGCCCACAGAACCGTGTCAAATTCGTCTGTTTTCTCTTTGCCAGAATCAAGATACTTCCAGGTCACACGCAGCCTGTCATTTTCAGCCTTCTTTACTTTCATCGGGCTGCATTTCTTCAGAAATCGGGTTCCGTAGCTTTCCATGTAATCCGTTACCAAGGTGGCCATTTGCTACCCAAGCGGCAAGGTTTATTAAAAAAAGAAAAAGAAGAAGAGGTGTAAAAACACTCAGAAATCCAGATGGCGTTCATGAATACCCAGGCAAAGCTCCAAAGACCTGTCCAAGCGTTTCCATCCACCCAACAGAGAACGTGTGTTATTACAGATTTATTACATCAACCTTCCCGAGGCTGTCATCCACCTAATATCTTGGAGTACTCCTCCCATTGTCCTTGACCACTGGCCATGTTGGCTGGGGCTTATGGGAGTTGTAGTGCCATAGGCTAAGGCTAAGACCTTTTTATTTAAAAAGGCTAAGGCCTTTTTATTTAGAACTTATTTTAATTGTTAATTTATTGGTTATTTATAGGATTTTAAATCTTTTAAGCCGAGATGCACCGGGTTTAAATATTTTTATTGTACAATTTGTTATATTTTGTTCTTGTTGTGAGCCGCCCCGAGGCTTTGTTGCGATGGGGGCGGCATAAAAATGTTTTAAATAAATAAATAAAATAAATAGTGCAAAGCACCTGATAGGTACCAGGTTAGGTCAGGCTGCCACTGAGCCAAAATCCTGAGGGAAGCAGGCATCTTTCTCATTCCCCTCCTACAACGACCCTGTGAGGTCCATGCAGCTGACAACTGGTGTCTCGCCCAAAGTCGCCAAGTGAGTTTCATGGCTGGGACAGAGACTTGCACCAAGATCTTCCTGGCCCTAGCGAGACACTCTAGCCCATCCTCCCCAACTGGAAGCCCTCCAGTTGTGCTGAACCCCAACTCCCAGTATTCCCAGCCCAAGATCACGTTTCTGCTCGTTTTAACCTGCAAACAACTTGTGCTTAATAACAATAAAGCAATAAATAAATAACTGCTCCCTGTACCATCCGCATCAATTAGGGATTGGGTAGCAAGTTGCTTATTTATGCCCAAACTGTACCATGTCGAAAAACTGGGCATTAATAAGAATTGTTTGGTTGCTTGCAACACAAACACCTCCCAGCGACACCCAATTATACATAAAGCAAGGGTAGAGAAACTTGCTCAGCCGGAGGTCTGAAGTCAGGCCTGGAAAACACTTAGGGGGCCGTGCTCCAGGGATGGGCACGGCCAAAGGCAAAAGGATGAAACAAAAAATCAAAACTCGTCACCCTCTGTAGCTTCGGGCTCTTAGTGCCACTGAGCAAGCCTCCCCATTGTAAGGAAACCCTCACAACATCCAGAAAACCACCCACAGGACCACAGCCAGGGGAATGTGACACGGCCCTATGCGGAGCCCCACTGAGTGAAATTGGGGTGCCGCAAGGATGGATTACACCCCTGGAGCTGAGGTTTCTCCCCAGCAACAGAACAGATCTCCCCGCTCCCCAGGCCTTGCCAGGTCAGGTGACTCATTAATTAAGGTATCCAGAAAAGCTCCTTGACAAAGAAATTGACGCCTCTGCGAAGTCACCTCCAGATGCTTGAACCGGTGCCACACGGACGTCAAGAAATACAGCTGACAAGTTTATTCAAAAGATGCCACGGCTGTTGTTCATAAGAAGTCAGCCTGTCATCCCCAAAGGGATGAGGAGTCCTCGAGTCATAAAAAGGCAAGCCTGCAGAATCCGCCCACACAGAAGAACTTAAGTGCTCATTTCGATGGGGGGGGCTGGTGTTTTTGTATTACATTTTACTTTCATGATGGCAGTCGTGATTGGCAGAACAATAAACGCAATGAAAGCATTCACTCTGTTCCAAAACGCGATACACCCACATGGCACGACCAATGAAGAGACATGCTCCTTCGCAGAGCAGACAGCTGGATGATGGAATTCGCTTCCACAGGACGTGAGGAGGGCCACCCATCTGAAGGGCTTCAAAGGCGATCGGAGAAGTTTATGAAGGAGCAGGGCATCCATAGCAACTAATCCTGCTGGCTGAATGCTACTTCCAGTATCAGAGGCTGCACGCCTGTGCACACAGATCGCTGGAGAACGTGGACGGGAAGGCGCTGTTTCGCTCCTGTCATATTTGTAGGTTTCCCATGGGCAACCACTGTGCAAACAGAATGCCAGACGAGATGTACCCCTGATTTGGTCCAACAGGGCCGTTGCGTTCTGTCTTCTTGCGCCAATGTACATCTCCTTTCTTTATTTCAACAGCAGCCCTCCATATACTCTCTGGGTAACTTTGGCCCAATCAACCGAACCTACCTCACAGGGCTGCTGTGAGGATAAAATAGTGAGGAGGCTCTTGTAAGCCTCCTTGGGTTCCTTGGAGGAAGAACAGGTGGGATATAAATCGAAGAACAGATGCCTTAGAAGAAATAATAGGAACCTAGCTGTAAGCCACATTTTTGCAATTCAGGTGGGATCAAATGGGAATTTTCAATCTGAAAACAGAGGAGTTGAATTTCAGGGGGCACCCATCTTTCCCCCCAAAGTAGTTGTAGGTCCTGCTTCATCTTCATGACTCACTCTGTCTGTCTGTCTGTCTTGTACCAGCACCAATATTATACCAATTCTCAAACCATTGTATGGGCTGCTCATTCGCTTCCAAGTGCAGTGCCAGCTGATGCAATTGCCACTGAAAACATCAAACACCGTGTGACCCAATACCTGGAGCAGCACTTTCCTCCAGTGCCATCCTGCCCAGGTGTTAATACCTTCAGGCAAGGCCCTTTATGCGGCAGCATCAGTTGGGGATGGACATCTGCCTGCACTGCAGAGAAGGCCTTGTCTAGGCGGCAACCTGACTTGAAAAACCCCCAAGAAAGTTCAGCCTGGAAGCTGGCAGGGGCTTTGCGGGGAGGTGGGGAGCCAGGAGGCACCCTGTGATTTCCAATCTGTGCGTTTCCCCAGGGAAGCGGTAGCCATGCGCTTATCCTGCACTTTACAGGGAAGGGGAAGGACAAGTGAAGACGGACCGTGCTCCTTACTATCATGCGGCCAGCAGACGGCTGGCTGGCTAGCCGGTGGGGCAGCCCATGGAGGGCTGCGTGGTGAGGTGATGCAGCCCGCCAGTCCACTTCTCCCACCTACCCTGCCTTGGAATGAAAGGTGGGCTACGCATTTGTTTACATTAAGAAGCAAGCGAGCAACTTCAGCAGGAGAGCTCCACCTTTTTATGCATATAGTCTTAGATAAAATCTTTGACACCTCCAGTTTTCAAAAAGAAAAAAAAGGTGCTGAGGAAAGATGTCTGCCTAAGGCCTCTGTGAAAAGCCAAAATCTAAGGGCACTGCCTGTCGAGATGGCCAGAACTGCGCTTGATGAGATGTTTGTATACCTGTAATTTTGGCAGCTGCCAATGCAGGCTTCTGGATGGCCCACCAGCCTGCATTACTAGCTATCAGAATTAGAGGCTTACCCTTCTTGCTGTAGGACAAGCAGGAAGCAGCAAGGCAGACATGGAGTCACCTGCCCTCAAAGCCCATGGGCGGCCTTGAGCAAAAGGTCCAGCGCGTCAAGGATGCCCCTACCTGGTCAAAGCCCCGCAGTGGGATGCTCCTCATCATGACCGTAGCATCCAATCCGAGGCCTGTGAGGAAGCCGGCACACTCCAGGGAAACGTCTGGTGAGCTTCTAGTTCAAGGAAAAATCGCTCAAGTTCAAAGTCAGAGAAGAGAAATGAATGAGAACTGCAGCCACCAGTTGGGAGGCAGATATTTTCCAAGTCGATTCCCTGTGCCCCTTGCAAAAGTCCCCTTCTGAACCTGATGCTGGGAGAGGTTGCTCTTCACCGTGATGTTAACTATTGTACAGGGACTGCATCCGGTTTGAATCAGGGGGTGGTGGAACCAGGGCTTGCAAAGATACATAATCAGCCTCTTTTCGTATAAGCAGGAACGCTACTCTCTTCTGCCTGCCCCCAATCACCAGATTCCCATGTTCCCTCTTTGCTGAGCTGTCCTTTTCACAGCAGGTGGGAAATGAAGTTTCCCAGCAGCAACATACCATTCCCGGATGTGACACAAAATATTTTGTGGTGCCTTGGCCTCGGATGTGGAATCAAGACCCCCGAGCTCCGCAAAGGATCTGTTTCTGGGGGAGAAGAAAACTGGGCTATTAGTCAATGCCATGGCCAGAAGCGTTGGACTTTCCTTGGGCAGCTGGGCTGTGGCGACCAGCCTGAGGAGCACCTGAGCTGCAATAGCTACCGCTATGCCCCTGGTGTGAGGTCTGCTTAGGGCAGACCTGTCCAGATGAATGGGACTTGGACTTCAATGGGACTTTAGTATTAGACTGAGCAGACGACAGAATCTGCCAAGGGAGACATGGCTATAAGCAGCCACGGAATCCTTGAATAATATATCTCCTCGCTTGAGCTCCATTGCAGAGTCGCTGTAGAGAAAAACGGGATAAGATGCCCATCTGTGTTTTTGCTCTTCTTCTAGGACTGAAATTTTATGCAGTGCATACATAAAACCTACTGCAACTTATACATCAAGTGGACAAACTAAGCCCAAAATCTATATACATACTACCTGGGAATAAGCCCCATGAAACCCTGTATAGTTTACTTTCAAGTACACCAGTACAGTGAAACTGGCTTTGTTTATTTGTCCCATTAATAGCCTGCCTGTTCTTTTCCAGAGACCATAATTCTCCCCCTCTCCTTTTTTGCCTCACAACAGTCTTGCAAGGTAGGCCTGGCCCAAAGTCACCCAAGCGAGCTTCATGGCTGAGCAGAGAGCAGAACGTGGATCGCCTGAATCCTGGGCTTACTCTCTAATCTTCACACTGGCTTTGGACAAGCGTCCCGGCATAACATGCCTCATGCAATGGTCAGAAGAATGACCTGGCACAGCTCTTGCTGAGTTGCATAACAGTGAGGACTATCCCACCTTTTACAAGGGGTCTTTTACAAGGGGTTTCTGCACTTTTATATTTTATAAAGATATTTTATATATTTTTTGCTGAGGGCATTAAAAAGTTGGTGCGATGCTGGGAAAGTGCTTCATAAAGGAAGGTGACTAAGTAGGAAAGTCATGCAATTTGTTTTTTGAAATTCTTAATAATTATTGAGTTTTTAAAAGTACGGAAACTTTTTGAAGACCCCTCGTAATTTGGGTAAATACTGCATGTTAGTACCCCCACCCCCATTGAAGGAAAAACCTGCGACAGGGAGAGAGCTGGGTTAAAAAACCCGCAGCAGTCACTGAGCGCGCTGCTGTGTCTCTAACTGTATTTTAATCGTGGATTTCAACAAGAGCTGCTAAAAAGTGGCACTTTGGACTACCGAGCCTACACAGAAAAGACAAATATGTCAAGCATGACAATAAATCATTACAGCCTTGACAAAGGATACAGCTGGCTCCAACAACCAACCTGTTCAATGGGAGGGGAAGGGAAAAAGCAAAAGAAAAGAGAAACAGAATCAGGCTGTGTATACTGTCGTAACTAAAACAAATCTTTCTGGAATGCCGTGGCACGATTGCAGGTAAAGGCACCACGCTTGACATATATCAGGTTTCATATGATGATGGGGGCATGGACAGAGAAAAAACAGTTTGTTAAAAAAATAAACAACCCATACATAGAGCTTAACAACTGACAGGCCTAGTTTGAAAAGTTAAAACAACCAGAAATTACATAACGTTCTCTCGCAGCCACATACATCTCCCTGAAGGAGTTTATTTATTTATTAAAAGAAATTTAGAAACACCAAAAATATTTAGGCAGCAATCCTAAACACACTTACCGAGAAGTAAGCTGTACTGCACGAAGTTGGACTGACTTCTGAGATAACATGGAGCGAGGTTTGCACTGCCATTTGAACTGTGGGTTGTTGCCAAAATGCAGGTTATGGTATTGTCTGGACCCAGCTACAATAACAAGCCATGGTTTGTTAACCACAAACAACCCACAGTTCACAATCCAACAACAAACCATGGGTTCTTTTGATGGGTTGAACATGGCTTATTAGTGAAGCTGGGTTCAGACAAGACAGTAACTTACATTTTAACTACAGCCTGCTGTTCAACAGCCCACACTCAGCCCCTTGAGTTTGGGTTCTCTTGTTGACTGATCCCAACTGACTCTAAAGAGATGGAGGGCATCTCAGAGTGCATCTAGTCCAACCCGTGTTCAGTGCAGGATCTGCAATGCAAGATGTTGCTAGAGCAGGGGAGTCCAATATGGCCCACCTAGGGATTTCCAGAAGGTCCCCCCTACCCCTGAATTGCATTTATTTAAGCTGTTATATACCATTCATTCATGGCTCTTAGAATGGTGTCCACTACATTTTAGCTCAAAGCTCTTATTTTGAACTCTAAGAGGAGTTTTTTTTTTTAACTTTTAGAATATGTGGGGAGTTGCACAAAAGCTAGGAAACTACTGAATGATTGTTATTCAGGGGGAATAGGACTGTAGCCTTCTACAGAACTCCAAGGGGCCAAACTGGGACCCTCAGCAAGACAGATCTGACCCTCCTAAAGTTTTATGTCTTTGTTTTTCAAACAAAAAGAGATACTTAACAGAGAGCCACAGAAGTTGTGCATTGCACAGTGCAATGCATTTTTTTAGTACTGGAAGAACATCAAGGGCAATACGGTTTGACAAACGGGGAGAGCATTTCCCAACATCCAACAGCCAGGACAGTTTCTCAGGGCCACTGAAGTTCGAATAGTCTTCAGCTTCGCAGAAAGAGCACCAAAGATCATTGTCATGAGGCTGCCTTCCCCAGTCATTCTTTAGATAAGGGCAGCTTTTGCTGTAAGAACAAAGCTGTTTGCCTTACTGAAGGAGCTTTGCTCCCAGGAAGGCGGCGTGGGAGGCATTGTCTGTATGCAGAGGTACAAAAGTGGAAGAGAGGAACTTTATAAAATCCACGGCAAGAGGCATTGCCTTTCGTTCTCTGCTTGGGAAAAGGAATCAACACATCTCTGGTCTATTCAGGACCAGGAATCAGGACAGCTGGGGGAGCATGAGCTTTCTTTGGCTTATGTTCTGCATCCTTATTTTATCATTGTATTCAATAGATTATCATTATACAACAAACTTTGCATATCACCTTTGACACAAGTGGTTTCATTTCTTCCTAAGTATCCTTGAAGCTAACATAGGCTGCCTAGGAGAGATCTGGCCTCTGGGGTTAAAAGGAGGAGAAGTAGCAAGGAGAGAGGGCCCTGTTTGTTTTGAACAGAAGGAGGGAAAGAACACATTCACGCAAATGCAGACGGTTAGGGTACAATCCTACGCATGTTTAGCCGCAAAAAAGTCTTACAACTCCCAGCATCCCCCAACCAGCTGTAGGAGCTGTAGGGCTTTTTTAGGATTCTATCCTAAAACTAATTCACAGGATCACTTGTGGACTGGAATCCTCCCTTTTAACAGAGGAAAAGCAAGAGGGAGGGAAGGAGACAGAGATGGAAAGAATGTACAAATACTGTATATTAAGATGACAATTTCTCGGCAGGGCAAATGAAGATGTGGGTGGCCCAGATAAAGGAACTCGTTGGTCCTTTCAAAAGGATAATGTGATGTTAGAGCGGATAATACCAATGTCAACACTAATCCCTAGAGGTACTAATAATATAATTCCACCTCCCAAAAAAGAGAAAGAATGAAAGAAAGAAAGAACAAGCTCTCCAAATAAAGCGCCGGGTGTGCCGCCGAGGAGTCATCGGCTCTCCGCTCAGCCGCAAGGGCCCCAGTGACAGGAATGCGCCTGGAGTTATTGTTTGAAGTGACGCTGACGACGCTTGTGCACACAGGCGGGCCTGCAACCGTCCGGCTCGTGTAAACTGCAATTCAGTGCTGACAATGGGGGGCTCAAGAGGCTCAGACCGGGATCGGGCGACACAAAGCCCGGAGGGTCCGGAAGGGAGAAGCCAGACAGAGTGTGACGTCCTGCCCTGTCTCGTGTGCTGGAAAAGTGATGCACGTCTTCACGTCACTGGCCCGAGACCTGGTCCTCGTGCGGAAAGGCCGGCGCACTGTCCTCTCACGTGGTCCGTGTGAGGTGGGCCGACTGGAAAGGTGAAGGACAACCTGGCTGGCCACGAAGATGCTGGGAAGCGGAGCCCGGAGATGCTGAGGCAGGAGTTGGCACCGAAGGACACAGCGAAACGTGCCTGCAAGTGGAAGGCTGCTGCTAGTCGGAGGGGACACTTTCCAAGCTTTTGAGAGCCCTCGGGAGAGATCTTCTCAGGGGCTCCCCTGCCTTCAGGACTCTGCCCAAAGCTCCACCTCCTGCTCTTCCTCCTCCTCATCAGTACTACCTGGGCCAGAGCAAGAAGCAGGTGACCAAAGGGTTTGCATGGGAGGAGGAGCATCTGAAGGTGTCCTAAATAAATCGGTGGGGCCCCTGTCTGGGTGTGGGGCCTCGGGAAGTGCCCAACCCTAAGGCTGGCCTGGCCTTAAGGGCTGGATTTGGACCCACACAATGCTTGTGTGGAGTTATGTTTAGATCAGGAATTCAGCCAAGCCTCACCTTGCTCAGGTAAGGGGAGACAAGACAGAAGCGTACCAAATTATGCCGGGGTGGAGAAACTGGCCAGGAAGACGTATTTCTTCACCTTTCATAAAGCTAGGATGCTGGAGAGAGAGAGGAGGCCTTCTTCACACAGCGCATGCTTCAGCTACGAAATCTGTCACTGGAAAGTTATCATGATGGTCACCAATTTGGATGGCTTGAAAAGGAAACTGGAAAGTTCCCAGGGAAGGCTGTCAGTGGCGCCTAATCCTGTTGGGTCGATGCTACCTTCAATGACTATGCACACTTGTTGCTGGGGAAGATGGGTGAGAGGGTGCTTTGCATGCATGTCCTGCTTGCTGGGTCCTGTGGGCAGCTGTGTGACCAGGATGTTGCTCCTGTTCCCCAGAAAAATTGACCAGAGAATCGTTGTCATGGGGCCCAGCAAAGGCTCATCTACCCTACTGTGGGTTGCCATGTTGTGCAAACCCAACAGGTCTTATCGGAGGGCTAAACAACCCTCCAATAAGCCTCAGTCTGGCTTGCTTATGCAGAAGGGTGGCTGGTATGTGCTGCAACTCCTTGAGAGTAAAGCAACTATTGCCGTGCTGTTGTGTTGTGCCAGCCAGGTCACTGGCCATCTGCAGGGCCACCCAGTGTCGTTCGTTCTAGCCAAACTACCTCACAGGGTTGTTGTGAAGATAGAATGAGCGGGGGGCAGAGCCAGCTGTGAGAACCTTCAGCTTCTCCCAGAGGCCTTCCCAAATGTGTTCCGGGACTCCTGCAGTCCCAGACCACTGGGCAAGCTGGCTGGGGGTGACGGAGTTTCAACAGGCATCCGTCATGGACCCTCTGGGTGAGAACAAACGGAAAGCAAGCACATGGTAATCGCACCGACACAGGGCTTGTGGATTTTGTTAAATCCGCTCCATCTGTGTTGCACAGACTGACCTGTGCCTTTCATTCTGTTCCCCGCTCGTCGGTGGAACAGGATCTTTCCAACCAAAACCGCTTTCTACTCCTGCTCAAATCCCATCCGCACCAGTGTGCGCTTGAGCAGATGCACTAATGCGTCTTCGTTACTGCTCATGTACGCTTGCACTAATGCGAGTTAGCACAAATCCCCAGAAAAACAAAAAACCAGTCTGCAAGGCCATGTGCAGAGTAAACTATACAAGTCATTTGTTTGCCATGCAAAAAGAAGGAAGAAAAATAGCCACTGACAGACACGTACACAGCCCTCCACGAACTTCTGCCATCTCCTCTGAAAGCTCTCTAAGACAGAGTGAGCCTCACCACACCTTGTGCTTGAAATTCTTCTAAGTGAATCATCCTTTAGTTAGAGCTTTCTGTTTGGTCTGCCCTGAACCTTCTTCAGCCAAGGTAGCTTTTATGCAGCGGCTAAAAAAAGGCAGAAAACCCGCACAGTGACAAGTTTATTTTAAAAAGTTTAGTTCCTATGAATGTTAGTCATCTTGAGCACCATTTGTGGACTATTATTATTATTAACAACAACATTCTGGTGTAAAGACCTTTTTATTTTCCTAGGCATCCTAAGAATAGCTTTTAGTACTTTTAGAACTCTGTTCTGAGGTTGATCTTTTTATCTTTGGTTTTGCCTTTCTTCTTACAAGGAACTCTAAGCAGCTTACATCAGTCTCCTGGTCCTGCCCGCTTAACCCCATAACAAGCAACCTGGGCTGAGAATCTGTGCCTGGCCCAAAGTCACCCAGCTGGCCAAGCAGGGCCTAGAGGCTCTCCATGCTGGCTCTTTCTTAACGGTTGTACTGTATGCTTTTAATGTATTGTGCACTATCCACTGATATGTGATCACCGAGCCGTGTAAAAGGGTAGTAAATCAAATCAAGCGTTTTAAAAGTCAAGACCTTAGATCAGATCTGAGGAACGTTTCTACGGAAAGCCATCGGACAGAAACGAGCAATTCAAGAGGCATGCTTGGGCTCTCTCCCCGGCTGCCTGCGACACACACTGATAAAGTGCAGCCACGTTACAGTAGACCCCTCCGGGGCTTATTTTGACTAAAGTTTAGGAATGCAACGTATAAACACAAGACTCCCACATTACACTGTTACAACTTGCATTAACAGCAACTGGACAAAAGCCACATTTTCAGAGGCAATATCTCCCAGGGATAAATCTTGTGTAGAGCTTTTTGTTTCCTTTTTTTAAAAAACACGCGCACACACTTTCCTCGCATAAATCATACTCTTAAAATTCAAGAGGTGACTGATATACTGCAAGCAACTGTGGACTGAGTCCTCCCTCCGCCCTTTTAAGCTGCACCAAAGACCACCCCCTGTTTATCTACGCAGGCAACATTTTCGCTCGTCAGCATTAAAAGGAAACAGGCTGAACGAGGCCTATTTTTCTGAAACATGGGGCAGTGTTTCTATACATCCCTTTCCAACGATACGTGAACCGTCCTCCTGCCGTGTGAATGGCTTTTCACAGCCCTATGAGGAGAGACTGAAAGAAGGGAAGACTGAGGGGGGACATGATATCCCTCTAGAAGTCCCTCCAAGGCTGTCACAAAGAGGAAGGTCAAGATCTCTTCTTGCTGATGCCGGAGTGTAGGGCATGGAATAATCAAGTCAAGTCGTGACAACCCAGATTCAGGCTGGACATCAGGAAGAGCTTCCTCACTGTCAGAGCAATTGGACAGTGGAACCAGCTGCCTGGAGACGTGGTGGCTCTCCCAGACTGGAGGCATTTAGGAAGAAATCTGCCAGCCCTCTGAGTGGGATGGTGTAACCTGGTGTCCTGCAACAGCAGGAGGTTGGACTCGATGGCCTTCATGGCCCCTTCCAGCTCTACTAGTTCTATGAGTCTATGATTCGAGTATGTGCTTGCTGCAGGTTTCCAAGGGTCTTTGGGTGAGACAGCTCAGAGGGCGCCTTGCTTCTATGAGACCCCCTTCTCCCCAGCATGGACACCAGCCTGCTGCTGCCCTCCTCACCGCCAGCATTGCCTGGGCCGGGGGCAGAGGGCAGGAACGATTCCAGAGGGTCCCTGCCAGTGGGCCCTTGACAGGTGGCTGATCATCTCGACCTTTGATGCCAGGCCACTCGGGTTCGTTGGAGATTTGCAAGTCGAGCATTATATTTGCATGCTCAAACCGTCAAGATGAAGGGGAACCCATGCAGGCTTGGGGTGGCGGGAGATGGAGCCAATGTCCTTCGGAGGCTGCAGGCTGCTGACCTGGGCACACGGTGGCTTGGCTCTCCTCCATGGTGGAATGCGAGAGAGGCTCCAGCCAAGACTACCGGCCAGACCCCAGACGGCTTGGTTTCATCATGCACGTCAGGCCATGCCAGGTTCTGGAGGGTCCTCCAGCAACACACCTTCAACAGACTCCCTTCCTGCGTGCTTCTAGCTTGCCACTGCCACTGCCCCTGGCTGCTACTGCGTTGTCTCTTCATGGCTACCAAGCTGAGTACTTGAGCCCATGAGAATCAGCAAGCCAGCGGTTTCTGGGTATCTCCTTTTCTCCTCTCACCACCAGCAGTGTTGCCTGAACCTGAGCGAGAGGCAAGCAAACACGGAAGAAGAGGAAGCACGCCAAGGGGCTCTGTCAGGGAGCCCATGTCAGAAAATGGGCCCTTGGCAAGTGCCCAACCACTCCTACCCTTGGTGCTGGCTGGGACCTTACAATGTTTATACTGAGGAAAGTTCTGAACATGACTTTCACTTGGTCCAATGCAGTTTCTTAGCCGTGCAAAACACGCATTTCCTGGGGAAACGGCTCCAGGCCCCAGATGTGCTCAAAGGCAGCCCAGCTGCCAGTTCCAACCAGCCCAGTAAAGAAAAGGGCTTGTTTTCATTGGAAGTTCTGCCACGTTTGTTTTTAAGTGAACCCTGCCAGATAAAAATATAAAGCCACAAAGAGAAGAGAATTGTATTTCTCTTTCCCATCAAAGAAGTCATTCGTATAAGGCGACTTTCCCTAAGATGGGGTATATGGGAGTTGTAGTATGGAAAATGGGAGTTGTAGTCCAGAGGGCGCTGGACTGGAAAAGGCTAGTGTAGGGTGGTGACTCAGGAACTGTGTACCCGCCTCTATCAGATATTTCGTGGTATTCCAAGCATTTGCTGCCCTCTTGTGGTTTATGCATGAAATTAACAAAAGGAAATGTACCCATAGCACATTCAGCATCTCCAGTATGTCCATTTGCAATCCTTCCAGGAAAATTTACTTATGGGCCAGGTTATACATATACCAGAAACATACACGGAAATCAACACAGTGTCATAGCCCCCAAATCCATGTGCCTTTGTTGCAAGATCACTCAATCCGGAAGTCACATTTTGACATAAATAATAGCATCTGAATAAACCCGCGTGGTGTTTGATTAGAAACAGTGAAGCATCACCAAAGACAGATGCTCCGGTGATGAAATCTAAAATACCTGCCATGCAAACCGGTGCACGTCTATCCTGAAGAAAGGTGCCCTGAGCTCAGGGGGTCTTACTTCCAGGTAAATAGGTATAGGATTGTGGTCTAACAAAAGAAAATATACTGAGAGAAAGAGAATGTACAAAAGACAGAACTGCCACGTGTATATAGTTCAGTTACTGAGATGAATTAAAGTCCTCGGGGAAGGACTTACGTTTTCCCAGGAGATTTTTTTAGCCAAAAGATATCATCACTGGTAATGCCATGTTCCCGGGATCCTGCAACCTAAGGAAAGCAAAATGCAATTGTGGTTAGGGAGTGATTTAGCATCTCAAAAGTCACTGTGTGGGAAGAATTCTGCAAACAGCAAACTCTGTCCGTTCTTAGTTTTCTGCACAATTAACAACAGGCTAGATTGGCATTTATGTATATCAACCAACACCTGCAAATTGAATGCAAAGTGAATGTTCCGGCTGTGAAGGAGCCGGCAACAGGGATCCAAAGGGTGTCTCACAAGGCAAGAGCTCAAGGATGAACCTGAGCATCGCCGGCTGCACCAGCTGAAGTCTTGGCCCAGTCAGGAAACCCCTTGCAGCGGTTGCTGCCTGTAGGAGCCCAGTATATTGGGCTGCCCAGGGGTAATAGGCCAATGGGTAATGGGTTCTAGTGGCTGACTGCATGGGGCAGCAGCACCCAGAACCAAGGGGACCCGGCTGTCTTCCAACCCCACGGTCCTGCTTTTGATGCTGAGCCAACATTTTGTGCAAAGATACTATCATTATTCCATGACATTTCTACCCCCCACCTTCTTCCTCTTGCAAGGAACCCAAGGGGGCTGACATGATTCTCCTTCGAGTTTATCTTCACAACAACCCTGTGAGGTAGGCCAGGCTGAGAGACAGTGACTGGCCTGAAGTGACCCAGTGGCTGAGCAGGGACTAGAACCTGGATCACCCAGGCCAACACTTGAACCTTAACCTTGCCCATTCAGCCCAGCACAGGAGCAGTGCCTGAGCCCTCAAAACCATGCCCCGCAACTCCTCCTTGGACAGGTGTGCCAGTTTCCCTTTCCACTCTCTTCTGCACCTGAACTGTGCTTTGCCACAGGGGGCGGAACCCCTTTCTGCCCAAGGGCTGATTTCCATTTCAGAGAATCCCTTGGACGTTGTCTTCCAGGGGTGGGTGGGGCTAGAGATGAAGACGTGGTTGGGAAGGTGGTGGGACCAAGAGAACGGAGCCGTGGCTGGGGGGAAAGCTGGCGAGCTCCTCTGGGGAACCCCAGGGGGTGGATTTCTCCCCAGGCATGATGCTCTGCATCTGATGATGTGGGTGCCCTTATAAGAACGGTGCGGTGAGTGCCAGGTCACCATGAATGAATGCAACTTACATTTTCAGGATATTTAGGCCTCCCACCGGTGGCAAGGACTATGTTTTCTGCTGTGAGAAAAACCTAGGAATAAACATGCAAAGAGATCGGGAATGAAGGTTGAAAGAAAGGGCTCCCGTCAAACTCGTTTGTGTGGATGCTGCCCTGCGTTAAAAGATGCTTATCTCCGATAGTTATCTTTTTCTGCATTTTCAGAAATGGGGTGATTGTGCAGAAGGCCAGGCAGACTTTGTAGAGGGAAAACCTGGATGCCTGGGAAGAATTCTCTGCTCTGGGATGTCACTCCTAAGAATTCCTGGTAGGCCCTTCTACGTTGCTGCTGCTAAGCAAAGTTCCAAGAGGTCGATTTTGGTTAAAACCAGGCAGCATCTTAGCCAAGGAAATAGCCTCACTCTACTACTGCAGGGGCAAAGGTTTCACAGCTGGGATGGGGAACGTGTAGTGCTCCACAGGTCTGGACTGCAACTCCCAGAATCCCGTGTTATTAGCGCCAGCTGAGTTGTTAGCACCACTGAAACAAACCCTGCAGGACCGCGTGGGATTGCCGTGCGGATTGCAACCCAAAGCTCTCCACCGGCAGGCTCCGCTGAGCACTGGGCCACACAACCTCATGCTTGGCTGACTGCGCAGCCGCACTCGCTCAGGCGCCACTCGAGCTGGATCCTCCTGTTGCGCGAGGCTTGGGACCTGCTCCTACAGCATCGTTTTCGCCAAGGGAGCAGCCCAGCCAAGTCTGGGCCGGCTGGGGCCGCTGCCATTGCTGGCGTGTGGCCCACGCCAGGGGACTGAGGGGGAATTCTCCATCCGTGCACGAGGCCGTATGAGGCCAGACAGACATGCCTGACCCGGGATGTCGCCTGTATTAAAAATAACAACCTGCTGCCCCACCTCTTTGCCTCCTTTTGCTGACCCACGAATCGTGCGTTCGTCCAAGAAACTGCCCTTCAGGTTGAAGTACTTCACTTTCCTGTTAAGAAAAAACAACCAGGACAGTTTGATTGCAGTGCATGTCTGTTTGGAGTTCACTGAGACTTACTCCCAAGGAAGTGCATGCAGGACCCCAGCCTCCCGCAAGTGCTTTGAGTGCCATGGAAATTAATGCGGAGACCATGAAGGGGAAGGGGGCAGAAGCTCAAGAAGCAGCAGTCTTCGAAGAGCTGATGCCAAGGCTTCAGCTACAATGTTTCAGGGACTGAGGTTAACCTACATGGGCCCGTCCAAAATCCCCAGGCAAAGACCAGTTTTGCAATTCCTTGCTTAAAGTAGCAGGTGTATTTGTCTCCCTCTGGTTCCGATTTGCAGGGGGGAAAGTTTCAGGAGAGGAAAGCTGCAGTTTTACTAAGCATGCATGCCACCTGCAGTCTCAACAGGAGAATCATTCCATCTAAGAATGAACATAGGTAAAAGGGTGCCGAATGAAATGGAGCTGTTTCAGCGAAAACAAGATGGAAGTATCCGCAGGGAACACTAGGATCTAAGGTCCAACATCTTTTTAAAACCCCAAAGGGATGGACCCTCTCCCACAACCCCCCTCCCCAGCACAGGGAGAACTCAGTGTGCTCCATCACCTCCCAAACTCAGGATCTTGGATGAGAGTCTGCCGGAAAACAAAATGGAAGTGTTAGTGGAATAAACTGCCTGAGCCCTTTGTCACCTGCAGTATTCTAGAGGAAGGCATGACTTGGAATCTTGGAAATGAGCAGTTCTGCTAAGAGGACAGGATAATGCAACATTTTGTGCCCTGTTAGAACCCCAGTGGAGGGCTTTTATTAGGTTGGAGTTGTTTATGGGAGAAGGAAAAGGGGGAGAGGCATTTACTTGTCCTGCAGCTGCACTCTGTGGCCCCAGTTCAAGGATTTCACATGGTTCTGGACAGCTTTTGCCAGCGTAGACCTGAGTACAAACAAGACCCAAACCACCGTCATGTTATTCTGCAAGCATCGCCTGAAGAATGCATGGAAATCTATCATATTTTAATGGCATTTTGGTTTAGGAAACAAAACATGCCAAAAGACAGCAGTGACTCAACGCAGCTGAAGGGCTGCCAGATGGGTTGACGTATAGCTCTCATTGCCTCTGGCCAGGGATGATGGGGACTATAGTCCAAGACATCTGGAGGGCTGTGGAAGGCTGAGATAATGAGAGAAGAGGCAAACTTCTTGAATGACTGATTTAAACCTCTCCCAACTGCAGAATTTGGACATGTGGAAGGCGGAGTGCAGGAGCCAATTCTTCGGGGCAAAGTTTCCTGCCAAGGACAGCTCAGGCTCAGCAGCACGTCTGCCTCAAAGGTCACAAGGCACCCTCACCCAGCCAGAAGGACGGATCATTCCTGGAGGATCCCGCAAACCATCTTTCCCCCCGCCTCCCAAATGAAATGCATACTGCATGCACCATATGGATAACTCTGTGGGCTATTTTACCAGTCATGCTTTGCAGGGTAGGGCATATGCCAGCCATAATGCCGGGCGTCTCTGAGGGCACTTCCAAGAAGAGCGGCTTGGTGCATCAGCTTCTTAGGGATGCAACCAACATTCACACAAGTCCCGCCAAGCCCCCACTTGGTGCCTGCGGAGGACAGATGGGGACACAGGCATCGGATCGTTAGAGGAAGCGTGCTGTTCTTAAGCACCGGTTGGAACTCCTCAGTCTTTAAAAATACAAAATGCTGGCCCGCCCTTGCGCTGCAGCAGGGGTGTCCAACTCGCAGGCCACATGTGGCCCAGGAGGGCTATGGATATGGCCCAGTGTAAAATCCTAAACTTCAAACATTGAGATCCTTTTGCGATTTTTGGGTGACTTGACTGTGCCGTTCTCGAGGGCGAGCTTCGCCAACAGCAGCATCGTGCTGAAACGTCCCGTAACATAAATGCGCGTTTGCTCGTGCTGTTTGTAAGCGCAGTGGCGGCAGGTCGCACGAAAATCCTGCGCAGACTTTTTTTGGCTCATCAGCGTTCGTTAGCACGTGTTTTTAATGTGCGGCCCAAGACCACTTTGCGTCTTCCGATGCGGCCCAGAGGAGCCAAAAGGTTGGACACCCCTGTTCTGCAGCAACGTGACAGATCACCTATATTTATTTATTTAGAGTTTTTGTATGCCATCCCATCGCTTATAGCCTCGGGACGGCTCACATAAATAAATAAACATGATACAAAATACCATTAAAATCCGGAAACACCCTGGCTGCACAATTAAAACCTATAGATAATAAGCATTGTTAAAATATATTTTAAATAAAAAGGTCTTCGCCTGGCACCGAAAAACAAATAATGACGGCACCAGGCGGACCTCTCTGGAATTGGGGGCTGGCAGTGGAGAAGGGATGCAGCTGGGGAAGGCACACAGCCCCCTGGAAATCCCAGAGTGCAATTTTGCCCCTAAGGCCTGAACATCCCAGGCTAATTTAACCTAAAACGCTATAAGCATAAGACTGCACATTTAGGTTCAAGATGTCAATATCCTCACTCCAGTTTGCTCCTGACCGCTTTTACCCCAGGGCGTTTCAAAACCATGCCTGCACAAAGCCCCACAGGAGTCAAATTCCTGCGGTGTATACATCTGCAAGCTGTAATTCTCACCTCCTTCCTTTTCCAAAGTTTAAAACATTTCCGCTTCCATGAAATATGTGTAGGTAAATTGCCCACGGACATCTATTTAAGCAACCAGGCAGAAGAGGCATATTCTAAATGCAAATATACATACACTACAAATTCAGGAAATGGGTACAATAGTAACCCTCCCATTTCGTCAGCAATGCACTACAGAAGAATCAGCAAGATGCAAAACCTGAATACAGAACTCTCGGGGAGAGCTGGTTTGCCGTTGCAAGACAGAGCTGGATTTTTACATGCCTTTAGGGGTAGGATCCACATAATCCAAGACAGCCACTTTCTTTCCAAATTGGGATGCTTCAAAAATAAGAAGAGATCAGTGATTTATTTAAAGGAAAGACCAATATATCAATGTAACATTGCTAGCATTGGCCCAAGCTTTACCGGCACCTTCATTGAATTCACATGTCACCCCCACTTGTATCTCAATGTAATTACAGCAAGATTACTTAACCAATCAAGATGCAACTTTTGGTTCATGATGTCTTTTTAGTATTTTAGTACTGCGATCACACTTGCTTCCTAGGAGTAAGACCCACTGAACTCCTATGTGAGTAGACAGATGTAGGATTGCTCTGCAAATCCTTTGCAAATTTAGATGGGAAAAACACTTGCAGTCCGAGCTGACTGGGGGATCCAGGGAATTGTAGTCCTTTTTTCCATGCCTAAACTTGCATAGACTAGCACCTTAAATGTCCTAACTCTGCACTCCATTGTTAAGATTCTCTCCTGCTCTTAATTCTGCTGTGGAGGCTGTTTTCTAGTTCCTTTTCAAAATTTCAACTTGTTTGCAAGCTTTTCACTGAAAGGCATCTTTGGGACCCTCTTTGGGCTGAAAGGGGGCTCAGCAATGTAGCAGCAGATTCAAAAACTAGGAAGCTGGGTTGTCAGGAAAGTCTACTCCACTGCAACGAATGAGAGGCACAAACCTTCCTTGGCACAAGCGAGGCCTCCCGATCCTCCGCCAATGACCAAAAGATCATACTCGCTCTTCCCTACGGAAAAAAAAAAGGTTATCATCAGAGGAATGGAACGGGGAGAGATGCAGTGGGGCATCTGAAGAAGCAGGCAGCTGCGTCCTTTATTGCATATCATTCAGAGCGCAAAATGCCTGTTTAAAAGCAGCTCCAGAGAGAAGGATACTTACAGTAGCAAAATCCCAAAGGAAGGAAGAAGGGCTGACTAATTTTACTACTGTTCCCCAACCACATGTCTCCCCAGTGGTTTGCAAAGTGGCTTCACCTTCCCAGAAACATTAAAAATGTTGGTGTACGTGGGTTTTGCATTGGGGAGCATGTGCGCGGGGATGTGGTCTGGATTTACCCTGCTCTGCTGTTTCTCCATTCTGGATTATCTCCAGCACTGTATAACCACCCTTCTTTTTTTTAAGACAAACATTGTTGTAAGCCGCCCCGAGGCTTCGGCGAATGGGGCGGCATAAAAATGTTTTAATAAAAATAAATAAATAAATAAATTGTTCATGTTAAAAAGGAATTTCCTTCAATGAAATAATGGATTTGGGGGGGGGGGAGTGGCTGAATCACTGTTTTACACACTAACCTAATCTTTGCCTTGCTGCAAATATTTTAAATGTGAATATCCACTCAGAGCTAAAAGGATTGAGTTCAGCCTGGGATATTCCAAGGTAATCGGAGCTCAGATTGCAAGCTGGTGCGCTCAGGTCTTACACATATGTACCTAGGATTAAGCTGCCCTGAACATACTGCAGCTTACATCTGAGTAGACATGTGTAGGATGGCAAGCTGAAGTCCCAATGTGCTTTGGATCTGGGTCATTGCTTTTTGCCCTTGGCATGCTAACTTTGCACAGGCAGTGAAAACTGGTTGTGAAATGGAGGAAGCTACAAAACGTATCAGAGACAACAGCTTGCCCAGAAAGACACATGGAGAGAACGAAGTCACAGCAACAACAAGGGACCAGTTGTGCTCCTCAGCTGTGTTGCATCTGCAGAAAATGTTATGTCAGCGCTCACCATCTACCCTGGTGCAAGTGCAAAGCAAGGACATCAAATAACTCAGGCCAAAAACAAGGAAGGTTACTGAGCAGGGCTGTCCTAACGCACGGGCCTGATGGGCCCTTGCCCGTGGGCCCCATACTAATCCGTGTATGTTAACCCTTGGAAAATGGGAAAACTTCCCAAATTAACAGTAGTTGTCGTTGTCGTAGGGGCCCCGGTACACTGCTTTGCCCGGGGCCCATCATGCTGTTAAGAACCAGCCTTGCTGAACCCAAAATGTTCTCATGGGCACTGTGTTCTTTCCTTTGGAGCATGCATCGTTCACATCTTGGACCTTTCCCTGGCAACATGAGGGCCACAGGCTGCATGTAGCCCCCCCCCCCCCCCACACACACACGGAACCCACCCACTACCTCCCCAAATTCACCTCGTCCAAATAAAATAAAATAAAAAAGTTTGCAAACAAAATGGTGTCCAGAGGAACACTGAATAGGCCAAAATTATGCTCCAAATAAGCTATGTTAAGGCCTTTCTGGATTTCTGTGCTGCAGATTCCAATATCTATTAACTGTCCGTCACCGCTCTCTCTTTTGTAGCACCTGCAAGGGTGTGCAGGTCAGGGAAAAGGATCCAGTGAGAAAATTATGTTCCCCAGACCTCCTGAAATTGCCTGTTCCTGCAGTTTAAACGCAGGGCATCCGGTAAACTTGCAGCCTAGCCACTTACGAGTTCTCTCAAACAGCAAGCCCATTCTGAAAGAAGCAGGGCAAGGGATATTGTCCACATCTGTCCATCTCTCCATTTATGTCCTGTATTTTCCAGCACTGAGCCCAACCAACTTCTGACTTCAACGACCTTTCCAGCCTTTTCCCTTCCAGCAGAACAGGCCATACTGATGTGTAGTGGCAGACTCAGATTTCCCAAATCAACTACTAAAAACAGGGATTGTGCAACGAGCGGCAACTTCTTTACTGTGTTATTGCTGGCAGGCTGCACTGGGGAAGGTAGCAAACTGTACAGGGTCACTGTGTCGGAGAAGTTTCCAAACTAGCACAAATAGCGTCAACCCGCCCACATCACCCCTGTGCTATCTTGGCTGGACTACATACCAAGAAATGAATGTCATTAAATCATAGATACGGGGAAGGGCCTTGCAGGCCTTCTGTTCCGGGGTGGGCCCACTGTAGATCTCCAGATGTTTGGGACTTCAACTCCCAGAAGCCCCTGCCGGCATGGTGAATGCCCTGGACTGCTGGGAGCAGCAGTCCAAGACGTCTTGTCCTACCCTGATCTAGTCCAGCCAAAAGTGACGGCATGGCCTTTTCTCTTCCAGATAAACCCAGGAATTAGATCTTTACCTTCTGGCCTTCCTCAGTCTCCACTTCCCTTCTTAGCAGCCAGAAAAACAAGGTAAGGAGGGCTCATTGCAGCCCAGATGTTCCTCACTGATGGGGCCAGGATGCAGCAGCTCAGTGGGGAGGAAAAGTTATTTCAGGCAGGACGAGCAACTTCTGGTCCTGGAGCTCCAAGCATCCCCAGAGTCAAATCTGAGAAGCCCGCTGCAAGTGCTCAGCCCTGTGGTGGAATCAATCTGCCCCTCCCCAGGCAGGCTGCTGAGCGGGGAGCGAGAGAGGCATCGGGAGCAGCCGGAAGCACAGTCCTGGCTCCGGCTGTGGAAGGTCCCTGGCCAGACACTCTCCCTCAGTGGGTCGCCCTTCTCTCCACCATTGTCGCCAGCTGCTCTTGCTCCTCCTCCTCCTCCTCAGGGCTGCCGCTCGCTAGCTTTGCAGGCAGAGAGCAGGGAAGCAAATCAGCAGAGGCATCCCCTCTTCCTCTTCCTCCCAGCAGGTGCCTGGGCTAAGCATGTTGCTGTGAGCCAGCTGGAGAGTCCAGCAGGGGCCTCCTACTGGGATCTGGGCCCCTTGCAGCTGCCCCGGTATGCCTACCCTTGAAACCGGCCCCGGGAATAAGGAAAGGGTGGCCTCACCCACTCCTGGCTGGGGCAGTGCCCACCGCCATCACACCGCCACCCAACCGGGGGGCCCCACCAGCAAAGGTGTCCTCCCCCTGCCTGGCACTCCCCAGTTCTGAGACTGCATTTCCCAGCATTCCTAATCACTGGCACGCTGGCTGAAACTGTTGGCAGCTGAAGTTTGGGAAGGCTGCCCTGGACGAGTCAAAATATGCCAACTTTTGTGGACTTACTTACAAGGCGATGGAAGCAACATCCCTCCCACATTTCGCAAGTCTGCCTACACAAAGTACTCTGTCTATATTGAAATTATTTTGCACCTGACAAGCTACAGAGAGGTAACCGATTTGGAGTGCAATCTTACATATACTTCTGCAGACGTAACTCAATGAAAGTTTGGGGAGTCTTGCAGATATAGAAGGATTGCAGCTTCCAGTCTTCTGTAACACAACCAGAAAAACAAGAGTGCTTGCACTTTTATTGATTTAGTCCAACTTGGCTATGAAGCTCATTGGTGACTTTGGGCCAGTCACAGCCTAGCCTACCTCACAGGTTGTTCTGAGGATAAAAATGGAGAGGAGGAAAACTATACAAGCCACGTTGGGTTCCTCACAGGAGGAATAAAGGCAGGATGTAATACATAAATGAAGAATCATCATCGCATACGTAGAATGCAAAATGAGGTCTGAATAGGGATTATCCACCATTATGGTAGAATACTGGTGACTCTGATTTCCAGTTTAAGGCACGCTCTAATGATTCTTTACATTTGCAGTGTTCCAAGGTTTATTTAGTAGTTCTAAAGTTGTCATTTCATTTCTTCTATTAAGAGATGAGGAACACAGGAATGAAAATACATTGTAACTAGTAATTAATCTTGTTTTTCAGTCAAGGTTTTAAACAAATACAGCTTAAGAGAGGACCTGCAACATCAAACCAAACAAATGTAAACTTGCTTACACAGGGCAAAGTAACAGTTTGGCCTTCCACTGTTTGGAAAGGAACTATGAAAATAAAAGCATGTGGCTGGGATATTTTCTTCCTTTCTTTTTTTGCATTGCTCTCTGAGAACAAGACTGAAGGATGGTGAGCAAATAACAGGGTTAAGGCCGCAAGCCTTTGTACAGTCACCTGGGAATGAGCACCAGGTACACAATGGATTTATGATCATATATTAAGAAATGTAACCATTGCAGCTTTTCTAATTTTAATGACTTTTTATGTTCCACATTGTGTTCAGTTTTTATTATTTTAAATGGTTCACTGTCTTGATAGCTTTTAGCAGATCAGGCAGCGTAATTCTAGCAAAGCAATGATATACAGTAAGAAGAAATACAGGAGAGCCAGTTTCTAAAGGGGTAGCTGTTTGAGTCTATAGCAGAGCCTTACAGCATCTTAGAGACCAATACATATAGGGGCCAATCCTATGCAAGCTGAGACAGAAAGAAGTCCAACCACTTCCAGCATGCACCGGCTGGGAATGGTAGGACTTCCTTTTCCTGGTTTTCTAGGGCACGCAGCGAAGTTTAGGGCTTTTTCCCTCTCTAAACATGCACAGGATTGCTTCTTTTCAAAGCTCTAGTTAACAGGCAGGAATTCAAGCTCCCCCAGCCTGGAAGACTAAAGCAGGGGTGTGCAGGTGTCCTAGTGAGCTTCGTCTGTTTCACGTCTCCAGGGAGGATGGCGATGGGGGGCTTCACCCGTTGAATGCGCGCTGGGGAGGGCCGGGAGCTTTACCCGTTGGATGTCTGCCTGACCCCCTCCTGTAGAAGGGGTGAGCAGCACGGACCCCGCGCAAGCCCCCACCCTCCCGGCCTTCTCTACAGAGAGCAAGCGGAGCCCCCGGTCCCCCCGCGCGCCTCTCGCGGGTGGGGATCTCGTACCTGAAGACAAGGCCCGCACTGTACGGCAAAGCCGAGACTCGCGTGCCAGGCACGGGCGCGCCCGCCACAGCGCCGCCATGCTGTACGGCAGCGGCTCCGCGCGAGGACCCCGAGCGCCCCGCCCCGCAGGAGCTGTCCACGCGAGTGCCTGCCGGAGGCGCACGCCGCTCGGGCGTGCAGAGAATGAGGAAGAGGAGGACGGAGCCGCGCGTGCCTGGCCCTGGTGAGTGAGGAAGGGGCAGTCCCAGGAGAGAGGCCCGACCCTAGGGGTGGGTCCGCGCGGGAGAGGAGGCAGGCGCTCCAGCGCCACTTGGCAGGCATTCAGCCAGTGCCACTTGGCAGGCGTTCAACCGGTGCTGCGGTCCTGGGCAGGAATGTAGACTCTGCCTTCCCCTCTCCGCCCCGCCGCCGCCAGGCTGTTGGCATTTCACTGGAAGCGGCATTGTCAGCATGCGAAAGAGATGCGGGAGAGAATGGCCACCTCTTTTCTTAACGCGGCCCCTGTGCCTTTGGCAGGCAGGGGACTCAACCGGTGCAGCTTCCCTTGGCATATGCATAATAGGGATGGAGGCGAGAACTCTGAATTATCATATGCTGGCTTTTAATTACTTTCAGTGTTTTAAATATGTTTTTCTTTTTTAATGTAACTTTGTGATGTTTGTTTTATTCTGTATTGTCTTTACTGCATTTATTATTGCTGTCACCACCCAGAGAGCTTTGGCTATTGGGGGGTACAAAAATAAGAATACATAGGTAAACACATGCACCAAATCCAAAAACACTAACTCAGTGCAGTTTTATTACCATCTAGTATTATCTATGCCAAAGAAAGCTGCACCTGTTGAAGGCTTGTTTGTCAAAGGTATAGGAGTCCCTCCCAATAGCCTTAATTCCTTTTCCCAGACTGGTTGTTCATCTGTATTTCTCCTGTCCTTTATAATTTATTATATTTTCCTTTTGAGGGGAATATAAAGAACATCAGAATTAGTAGCGAAGGAATGAAGAGGTATTCCTCCATTTTCTGGTCAAAGATCTTGTGCTTTTGACAAGCAGGCATTCAACAGGTGCAGGAGCTCTTGAAGCCGCTAACGGGTTCAGTGGAAATCTTCAAAGAAATGTAGGAAGGGGAAACAGCTATAGATCAAGACTTAGTTACAGTGTTGCTCTGTTTGTAAATACTGTACTCATTGTTGAATGCCTGGGGGAACTTCAGATAAGCATTTTAAGTACAGAACCTGAAGATCTGGCCGGGTAGAAAAGAGAAGCTATCAGTGAACAAACAGGCAAAACTTCTTTGTGCTTAACCTTGGGGAAAATGTTCAGATAAATGAGTTTTGGTGGTACTGACTCCAAAAAGAACTAAGAGAATAAGGGGAACAGTTTGCAGCTGATAAAGTAAAATGTGTTTAACACAAAAAACTTGCACAACTACAAATTCTGTCCACAGAAAGAAAATTATTTGGAAAGTGGTATGCATGTTATATATGATCATAAAGACCACTGTTGTTGTCTTACTGGGGCTGCAGTGTTGTGCCTAGCTAATCTGGGCTCTATTTACTTGAACGAAGGACCTATTTCCTCTGTATTTGTAGGTCCCCATTTTTTTCTAAGCGTACTTAGAATTCTGCGGTGAATTTTGCAAAAGAAATGGGGCTGCAGGAGAGGATTTGTAATAGTTTGTTGCAGAGGTTTCAGTGGTATTGTGGAGCCTGGATAGACAACAGCAACACTATTTATGGTTGGCTTGAAACTCAACATTAAGAAAACTAAGATCATGGCATCCGGTCCTATCACTTCCCGGCAAATAGATGGGGAAGAAATGGAGGTAGTGACAGATTTTATTTTCCTGGGCTCCAAGATCACCGCAGATGGGGACTGCAGCCAAGAAATTAAAAGACGCTTGCTCCTGGGGAGGAAAGCTATGGCAAATCTAGACGGCATACTAAAAAGCAGAGACATCACCCTGCCAACAAAAGTGCGTATAGTCAAGGCTATGGTTTTCCCAGTTGCAATGTATGGCTGTGAAAACTGGACCATAAGGAAGGCTGAGCGCCGAAGAATTGAGGCCTTTGAATTGTGGTGCTGGCGGAGACTCCTGCGAGTCCCTTGGACCGCAAGGCGATCAAACCGGTCAGTCCTAGAGGAGATCAACCCCAACTGCTCTTTAGAAGGCCAGGTCCTGAAGATGAAACTCAAATCTTTTGGCCACCTAATGAGAAGGAAGGACTCCCTGGAGAAGAGCCTAATGGTGGGAACAATTGTTGGGAGAGAAAGAAGGGGACAGCAGAGGATGAGGTGGTTAGATGGAGTCACTGAAGCAGTCGGCGTGAGCTTAAGTGGACTCCTGGGGATGGTGCAAAACAGGAAGGCCTGGAGGAGTGTTGTCAATGGGGTCACAATGGGTCGGACGCGACTTCGCAACTAGCAACAACAACACTTTTTATGCCCAGGGACACCTTAATCTCATCTACTCTCCTCTGAGTGTAGCTTCAACAGTTGTGGGGAGAATGCATTTTCCCAGGATCAATATGTGTTCCTTGTTGTAAAATATTTTGGGGTGCCTTAATGTTGAGCATGCACCTTGATTCATTAGCTTCACAAAAGATCAGCTTCCGGTGCAGGCTGACACTGGTTGAGGACGTGGATCAACACCCAGGTGGCTGATAGCTTGCACTGTCTCTGGGAGACTCACTGTGAGGATACCTGCACTTCAAAATATACTGCTGCCCCGTGGACTGTTAAATTCCTTGCCCTGGTAAGAGGGAAGTGAATTTGACAGACTTCATTGAAACGTGGTGGTTGCTTGCTGCTTTCCCAAATAAGATCAGTTTGGGGGGAGATGCTCCATTTCCAGGTGTGTTGGGGGCCAGTCAGACTCAGGTAATGCTTGTTCGTATATGTTGCTTTTTATCAGGTTGGACTGTTTGTGCCTTCAGCATTGTATATTTTGACTCACAGACTTGATTAAACTAACTGTCCAGTATCTCTTCCCTGGTCTCTTGTACCAGAGAACTTCGGTACTGAACTTAGGAACCTTCCCCTGCAGAACCTGTACTGTATCACTGCTTCGTGCAATTACCAAAGGCAAACTGGCTAATTAAAGGATTTTATTTCTGGTGTGGCAGGTTGGTGAGTTAGGTCAAGCTGCCGTTTAATCTTGCAACAGGGAACCTTCCAGGCTGCAGGAAAGTTTTATTGTGACATAGAGGCCTTGTAGGGTGAAGGGCATGGTACCCCCTGGGGCTGCTTCAGCTGCCTTGTGTAAACATGACCCCAATGGCTTCTTTGTGTTTAGGGGTGCTTCCACAGCAGTTATGGTTTCTGTAACTTCCTACCCTACAGCACCCATCCTTCTGAGTGAGCATGCCAACTGGGGATGATGGAGTTGCAGCCCTAAACCTCTGGAGCCTGCCAGATTGGTGAAGGCAGGCCTATAACATGTATGGCCTTCTCCGCGGTGGCGCCCCGGTTATGGAATGCGCTCCCCAGGGAGGTCCGCCTGGCCCCAGTGTTACATTCTTTTTGGCGCCAGGTGAAAACCTTTGTATTTGCTCCATATTTAAATATTTTAACTAATTTTAATCTAATTATTCTCAGTCACAGCTTATGTTTGTCATGTCATTCTATTTTGCAGTATTTATTGTAATTGATTATTATGGTGTAAGCCATCCTGGCACATTTGAGAAGGAGGGGGTAGAAATATTGGGGGTAGAAATAAATAAATAAAATGGTGGTAAAGGAGAGGGAACAGCTGCAGTGCACCAAAAACCCTTACTGTCTTCGAGTGCCAGCTGCTGGCTTCCAAAAAACTCAGTGATTTTGCTGGGTCGGCAGAAAGACGCTGTTAAGGGGTGGGCCACAAGCAGTTCTGGACGCCACTCGCCTGCCATCACCGTGCACTGTTTGGCACTGACATTTTTTGCATTGTTTTGCACAAAATAAAGCTACGGAGGGCAATCAGTCGAAATTTAACATGCTTGTAAGTTAACACTTACATCTGTTGGTGCTTTGAAGCCAAGCCGCCATGGAATGTCACGAAGGAGTGCAGAAGGAGCCAAAACTCTCTTGTAAAAAAAGCAGGCTTAACCCTTACAGTGTTACTGAGCCAGTGCGGTTCGTTCTGTGCTAGTTGCTAAGGGAAGTGCTCCGAGTGTCCCAGGTCGCCAGAAAGTCTGGCGGCTGTTAAGGGATGGTAGGATTGCTCTGTCCACGAAAAAGCAAGCGATGCACCACCCACCCACCCATTCCCTTACAAGGAGTTGTGGCTTTCCCGGATGTGGAGTGCAGGCATGGCAACGAATCTGGCTCCTTATGAATCAGCCTCCAGCTGGACTTAGGAAACATCCTGTTTTCCAGAATTGTCATTTTTCTAGTCGTTGTCTTTCCATAATTCTGTGATAAGCACACAGTTTTAATAACAGATCCAAGGGCCATGTTGCACAGACTGATTTTTACAAATGGGGTGGAAGCAAAATAATGAGCATGGGCGTGAGCACAGGCCGACTGGACTTAGCCTGTTTTTTTTTGGGATGTTTGCAGCTGGACATTCCAGCCTGTTGTTCCAAATTATTCCAGGATATTATTCTAGGCCTTTGGTCCCCCAGTTACAGCTCCTTCTCCCCCTTTCTCGTTCCTCTCAGCATCATCCTGGGTCTAACCCAGACTGAATCCAGAACACCTTGAAAGCACTTACCTGGTTCAGGAAGGCACGGCGGTAGCATCAGGGCACTGTTGACTGGGCCGTGTGTACTGTTTGCTGCTGGGTTGGCATGTCAGCATCTTGAATTCTCCAGAGGTGCTGTAATTATACCTTCAGCAGGTGCACACCTGCATAAGCAACCCCCCCGGGGCCGAATCCCTTCGACCTGAAACAAGAGTTGGTCTTGAAGGCAAACTCAATGCTTGGCAAGGTCCCGCCAGCCTTGGGTGCCACCCAGGGCTGCCGTGTTAACCCAGAGGGCTGCTCCCATCGGACTTGGGGCTGGCCAAATGCTGCTTGCGGCAGCCTGGACTGGGAGTGGGGACGATCAGACTCACTTTCCTACAACACTTCCAAAGCAAGATGCAGGACTGCAGGGT